CTACCTGTCAAGTATCAAAAGCGGCTTAAGAATGAGTTTTATGATCGATTGTATCTGCAATAATACACTATATTAAACATTTCTATTGAAAAACTAACAATAAAATACATTCCAAGTGTTTGAATATTCGACTATGTCATTAATGAACACCCACAATTTGGCTCACTGTGATAAACACTATTGAAACAATTCAACAATATTTAAACTGATTGTCTCTTTAACTAGGATTGAAACTTTAATTATCGATAATGCAAATATGGCTTAAAATCAAACTGTCAATTTTCAAATTGACAAGTTTAGAGTGAATATGCAAGTATTCAAAACACAATCTTCTAATTTTTATTTATAGCTTTCATTTCTGTCAAAACTGTCTTCTTAGCATGGCTCTTATAAAAGGCCTGAGGTCTTTGCCTATTTAAAGTACTTGTAGTTTGCCAATCATCATTCCAGCATGATTTACTTTTAAGGTAATTTATTTAAAAACTCAACTATTAATTTTTTATTTTCAAATTCAGCCTTGTATTTTCTCTCTACAATTTCAAATGAATTTCCAAGACTCTTTTTTCCCTTTGCCTTAAAAACAATGCACGCTTCTTCTTTTTTAAAATGCCCTTTGTCTGCACAAAACTTTAAAATGACAGTCTTTAAAAAATCTCTGATAAAATAAAAATAACCATCTTTCAAATGAATTTCACCCCACCCAACATCGGTCCATTCTTCATCCTCGAAATAGGCCAATTTGCACTTGGCAATAAAGTCACTGCCTGTTTCCTTTACGTTGTCTTTCTTCTCCTCAATCCTTTTATTCAAGTCCATTTTTAGAAAAGTTGATTCTTTCTTTACCTTGCTTGTTCCAGGCTCGGTGAAGATGTTTTTACTAAAGCAACTGGTTTTTTCTCTATCAAAAATACTGCTGTATGGTTTTATGCTTTCCTCACTTTTATTATTTATTCTATCCTTTCTACCTCTTTCAATATCGCCACTTGATTGACAGGTTGCACGATCGGTATTGATGGTATCTTGTTTGTTAATATCACATTCTTCATTTGACTTGATCTTCTTCACAGACTCATTTTCGGAGTGAAAACTCTCTTCAGTGCGTTCCTCAGCATTGAGAAAACTATCGTTATCTATCTTGCTTTCATTGCTGTTTTCTAGGCTATTCCCCTGTTGTTTAAGTGTTTCTGAATTGGCAGTGCTGTCTGGAACACTATTCAGCTGATCTTCTGACTCCTTAGCTCTACACTTTTCCTCTTTAATGTCCATGAGGACTATACGAAATCTCAAAAATAAACTCTTAAAATTGGAACAAAACCTGATCAAACGTTAATAAAATAAATCACTAATATGAACTATAAAAAGTATGCATTAAAGCCTGCTGTGAATGTGAAATTAAAACTGTTAGGATGGTGTTTACAAAATCATAAAAACTAACTAACCTATTAAAAGCTTTAAAAGGAGTGTGGCAAGCATTGCTAAATCAATAGGCATGGCAATTGCCAGATAAACTGTGCTGTCAATGTTAATTTGATTGAAAACATATCATAAATGTCAATATAACTAACATGTCCTTATTTTTAGCTCTACTTCAACAGTTAACTATCCTTCATTTTAATCTCCTTCGACAATCAAATTCTTATTTATTTTTAATTTTGCTGCCTTTGCTGGAACTTTCTAAGATTATTGTCTAGTGCTTTAATGTCACCGCTCAGTGTGATAATGTTTTCGAGATCGCTATCTACCTCTTTGAGTGTACTGATAAGAAAATCCATTCGCCTGTTTAAGTCATGAATTGTTTTGGCAGCTTCTGAAATGTCCCGACTTGTTTCCATTCTACTTTCGGCTAGCTTGGGTAGAAAAGAAAAACAAAAAAAATCTCCCAAGCCGGAGTCGAACCAGCGACCCGCTGATAACTACATCTTCTACAGTCAGCTGCTCTACCACTGAGCTATTGAGAGGTGATAGGAATCAGGAAAGAATATAATAATAAAATATATATTGTATTGGAAGTGGTATTAAAAGTAGGCCATAAAATTATGTAATTAAATAAATACTTTTGTACTTGGACTTACTTCCAACATAATATAAGTTTTTAACTAAAAGTAACACAGCTAATATTTTAATAAATTATATTCATTTCAGGGTCGTTCGACTTCTTTCTATTGTCCCCACTTCTATCTGCTTTTCCACTTCTTTTTGCTGTTCTTTATGCTTTTCTTTTTTATTATTTACAAATATTTTCATCAATAAATCTTTGCAGTAGTCCTTTAAAATTGTCTTTAAAGCTACATCAAAGAAACTTTTGCTTTCACACTCAATCCTGTCTTCCTTGTTTTCAATTTTATGCTTCATTGTTTGAACCCACTCAAAGAATGATCTTTTTATGCTTTCTTTGCTGTATGCACTAAGTCTTTTGTTGCAATATCGATAATTTTCAAAAAAATTTTTAACAGGGTTTTCAGCAGTTTTCAACCTCCTTCTTATGAATATTAATAGTATTTTGGGAATTGACACCATCTTGAAAATGTTGTTGTGCTCTAACTTCTTTATTGATCCAACTGGATCTGCCATAAAATTCTCAAATGTAAAGTATCTATCCAAGTACCTGAGCTTTCCTTTTGTACCTCTGAGATCAGTCCTATGTTCAATGTTTTGTTCTTCTTGATGCACATTTTCCCCATGTAATGTTTGTGAAGTGCTGCATTCCAAACAGAGATCTTCATCAAGCACTTGACTTCCTATTGGTTTGCTCTTATTTTCAAGCAAGGCGCTGTTTGTACTATCTTTGCTAGTCACCTGCTTGGTTTCATTTGGAGTATTCACTAGTGACTGTTCCTTTTCTTCCTCTTTTTCCTCAGGCATTGTTTTTATTAACTCCGCTACATTATCTACCTTCTTGTCACTCTGTGTCTTATCACATCCTCTCAATTTAAAATATTTTTGATCCATTTCAATACGTTCATCTGATTTGTTTTCTAATCCATAATAACATACTACAAACCCACTAAACGATAATAAAAATATTAATAGCATAGCAATCCATTTTCTATTGCGTCTTTTTTTGTTTTCTTCTGCTGATTTTCTAATATTTGCTAGAATACAGCATGTTCTTTTGCGCTTTTCATTTTCCATGGTATTAAAAATTAATTTTCTTATATAAAATGATTAAAAAATATTGACATAATGATATTTGCTTGAATGAACTACCAAAGTATCGACAAGCTCATGGAATATTAATAAATAGTCATGTATTTTAGATAAATACCCATTCTACAATCATCTTCCCACTTACCATAATAAAATAGCTTACTTTCAATACTCTCTAAATAAGTATGGTTTCTTACAATCAACCGTAGTTCAAGTTTAAATTTTTATAATCTCTTAATTTATTGAGATACACTGAAAATAAAAGCTTTTTCTCTGCTATCATGAATAAAATCAACAACACCAACAGCTCCTATCTTTCTAGCTGAAAATGGCATGAGTTCTCCAAGCTCTTGTCTAGACTCGATTTTAACAACTGGAATGCTCAGTTCCTCTGCTTTTTTCATTATGATTGTTTTATAGTCCTCAAAAAGATCTTCGGGAATAATAATAAGCTGCAAGGGTGCATTTTGATATAAGCATCTAACGACTTCGCTTGCCCCTATTTTGAGTGAATCGTGGTTTCTACAAACCTGGAGTACTTTTTTTAATGCAGATTGAACTGTAAGATCTTCCTGTAAAGATTCTACTAATTGAGACATAAGGGTGAAAAATTTTACTCTTGATAAAAATTTTCAAGCGAAAAGAGAGAAGCATAAGCGAAATCATGTTTGAAAATACATGTTGGATCCGTCTTTTGTTTTATTAGTGATTGATTGATAGTTGTTCATAGTCTTTGTGTCATTTTAATCCTAGCATTTAAATTACATATTCGACAACTCATTCAAGTAAAGTATAAATGAATAGCAATTAAAATGACAGCCACGATGCTGCATTTTCTTTATTTAATGTTCAAATATCCCTGTTTTAATTGTTTTTAATAACTATGGCACATACAAAGCTTAAGACATAAAAATTTGCATTTCAAGCTGTTACTTTAAATATCAAAGGCCTATTTCTCTTTATATTTTCATGCCCAGGGTGCCTTGTTATTCAATTTCATATTTGGGATCTTTCTACAAAGTCTTCTATATGCCTCATGGATGTGTGATGGGAGTAAAGCACCGTCATCATTCATTTCTTGTTGTATTTTCTTTGCTTCTTCTACCATCTCACCCACAAACACTTTTGACAATCCTGCTACTGCAATAATCATATTTGGATTCACTGCTTGTCCTATTATTGAGCTGATGTGCTTTTTAATGGCAGATTTGGGGAACTTCGATCTTTTAAATGTTTCATTTCTTTGTAGATCTGCTTCATTCATCTCTGAGATTGCTCTTTTTATCTCAGAATCATCCACTTGTTTGTAGAGTGATTCCTGTGAGAAAAGACTTTCTTCCAAAGATGAGTCACTTTCTAAATTCTCCCTTTTGTCTGTATCATCTCTCTTTTCTACCTCTTTTGGGCTTTCTTTTTCAATTAACTCCAGTTCATTTTTATCTGTTTCTTCTGAACTCATCTCAAGGCTAAAAATGGAAAAATGATGAAACACATACATTTATAAAATATGTACAGTAGGTTGAATCTTAAATTTATTTGATGATTAAATTGGGAATGTGTTATACATTAGTTAGAAGCCATTCAACACCGTTCTCTATGCTTTTATGATCATAAATAGTTGTGGAAAATGCTTTTATATTCTTTATATGATCAATTCTAGTGGCTATATCCTGTATATTAAAGCTAGGATTTAGGTCTATTTTATTAATCATTATACATATTGGGACATTAAGGTCTATAAGCTGATTCAGATACTCACTGCAGTCCCTACATCTGTACAATCTATAATAAACAATATGCCATCTGTTCTTTCAAAATAGTTAGACCAATACTCTCTAAAGCAGTATTGACCTCCAATGTCGACTATGTTTAGTTTATAATCCTTGTAGAGTATGCTATGAATCTTATAACCAAACGTTGGTGCTGAATCTAATCGTAGTTTAAAGTAAGAATTTATGATGGCTGTCTTTCCTGCATTGTCAAGTCCCATTACCAGTATTTTCAAATTTTTTTGTTTCTTTTTGATGTAATCTACAATCTTTTGAAATGTCATGTCCTTGGGTTGGGATTGAGAAAGAATAGTCAATGAGAAAACGAGTAGGCAAGCTTTCAATCAAAAATGGAAAATATACCTGTAGAAAGTAAACAACATTAGCTAATGTGCTTGATGAAAGTATAGTTGTGCTGCTACTAGTCCTTTTTATTCTAACTTACACACCGCCTGGATCTAGCTTATATGTAAATAAGCATAAAAGGAACAATTTTATTCTTTCATCTTCTCGTTTATGTAGTTTTTTAATGATTCACTTTTTTCTTTAATTGGCTTTTTTAACCCATGTTCTCACTCTCTGAGCAAGAGATTCAAGATTTAATTGATAAGCACAATGGGAAATGCATGAACAAAGAAAATACTCCAGAATATGATTTAAAAACTGTGGTTGAATGTGGATTGATGTTTTTATACGGTAAACAACATTTAAAAGGTGGTAAAGTAGTTCAGTGTGCAGAAAAACTCAATTTATACAAGAAACATAAGTGCAGAGAGGGTGACAAGAAGATATGTAAGCATTATAAATCTAGATTTTTGGATATTACTAACATCAATCCCCTTGAAAAGACACAAAATACTCTTAAAACATGTTGGACTGGTCATAATCTTGCAATTTTGACTGCCGATTTCACACTTCAAGGATATTTTAAAAGGGATTTGCTTTTTCAAAAGAAATTCCCACCTGCGAGTTCGATAATTGCAGGAGCAGATAAAATCTGTGTTGGTTTATTTTCTAGGGGAAGTTGTTTATTTTGATCCAATTAGTCAAAATGAAATTATTAGGCCCTGTCATACTGATACTGTCACATCTTTATATCATGAAAACGGCCATCTTCTTTCCTCTTCCCTTGATGGTACAATATTTTATAGAAAAAGAATTGAGATTTCTGATTCTGGGGTGCTAGACGTTAGAGCTGTTTCAGATGATAAGTTTGTGTGTAGTTGTGCTGATAATAATATCGTGCTTTATAATTCAGGCAATATTACTTCGTTCGTTGGACACACTAGTAGAATTAAGTCCCTCACTTATAATAAATTTGGAATATCAACCTCGAAAGACCGGAGAAGTCGGGTTTTTATTTAAAGAAAGTATGTTTGAGATAGAGAATTTGGGTGCATCATTACATAGGAGATTTACAACATATCAGTTTTTTGGGCATGGTCTTTCTGGGGTGTTTTTGTACGATGTAAATCAAAGACAAAAAATATGGTCTACGGGTGACGTAAGTCTGAGTTTAGACGTTAAGGAACATGTGCTTGTACATTCTAGTGAAAAACATTTAAAAATGACAGATGTTCGATCAAATGATACGATGAAGATTCCTCTGAATGTTAATATCACTGATCTGAGTTTTTCAGGTTCAGGAGACATGCTTTTAGTATGCACTGATCAGTTCCCGTTGATTGTTGATCTAAGACATATTTGAAATTTAAACATATAAATTAAATACAATAGAATTTATTATTATCTCACTGTCACGTGTCCGTACTTAATTTTATTTACTAATTACATGAATAAGAAGCAAGCTCTTTATATTTACTGGTGATATTCTAGAAATACTATTTGTCTCATTTAGATTGAAAGTGGAAAGGATTCGCCGTTAAGACTTAATATAATATATGTGTAAATCCTAAAATTTATCTCGCATTTTGTCGTCAATTTAACTGCAGTTAGATTGGCCAATATATTTTAATATTTTATAATTGATAAGTTAGACAATAGTGATTCGATTTTATTAAATTTTATGTCCAGTTTTATTCTTTACTAACAAAATTTTTCAACAAAACTCCCCCAATGGCAATTCCCAAGATGAAAGGGCAGAGTATAGGCAATTAAGAGATACAATTTATACTTTCTTCTACTATTCAAATAAGCCGGTGATAGCAAATGAAGTTATGTTACAGTTTAAAAACTGTAAAAAGGCTACAGTCCAGAAAATACTGGATGACTTGGTATCTAAAGGGAAGATCTTTATGAGAACAATAGGAAAATCAAAAGTATATTGTCTTACACAAGACATGACATTTGAGATTGATGAAAGCATTTACACAGATGAAATTGATACGAAACAGGATCAGACCATAGATGACAAGATTTTGAGATATCTGAAGTGGAACTATGAAAGGCATGTGGCAGAGCTAATTAAACTCAAAGAAGAATGCAAGAAGCTAGATCAGGTTCTAAATGGATATGAGAACCAACTGAGTATTGATGAATTAAAAAGAGCTATTGAGAAAATGAAAGCTATTGTTAAGGAATACAAAGGCAAGGGAAAACAGGAATGTGTAAGTTATGAAGAATTTAATAAGAAAAAGAAGGTATGTTTAAATATTAAAAAAGAATTAATGAAGAGAACACAAATATACAAAAACATTATCGATACAATATGCGAGGGATGTGGAATCAAAAAGAAGGATTTCCTAAGGGATGTTGGAATAGAAGAATAATGAAGAAATTTAAAAGAGTATACTATTTATATTTTATAATACATAAACATATTTAAACGTATTGATCTCAATAACTGTTAATGGAGAGGCATACAAATTTAGTAATATTAAATATCTCCTTAAAACTAAATAAAATCCTTCATCATTGACAACTATGATTTGGTAATCGTGGTTGAGAAACACGTCAAATAAGTCGATTTAATTTGAGATTTTCACAGTTTTATACTCAAATTCCACTAAGTAAATAAATGCCGTTTTTAATTAGTTTTATGTCTCTAAAAATTAAGTTTTGCGTTGATATGACTATTTAATTGGCTATTGATTAATATTGAAAATGTATATGAAAATGTGGTTTATTCAATTTGATGCTAAGGGCATTTGATTGTGCCATCTGGAAAATATAATGCTGGTGAATGCTGCACCTATTAACGATGCATTTTCATGGTAGTAAATACCTATAAGTCGTTTGGGCTTTGGTAAGATGTTTTTGTTACATTTTGATAGCTCTTTTCTCAATAATATATTATCATACCCCATTCCTAAAATAGTGCCATTTGTAATCAATGAAAACTCATCATTGTTCTGTGCTGCAGCTAAGATCATTGGTGCCAATATTTTGTATGTTCTTTTCTTAAAATCTTTAAACACTTCGCATATTGTTCTTTCAAATAATGTTATATTTTCTCTATTTACATCACTATTTGATACTTTCTTGTAAATATCATATAGTTTAAATGTATCTAAACTATCGATCTCTGACTCTTCAAATACTTCGAGTTCTTTAATTCTTTCTTTAATAATTGCTTCGAGTTTCATCCCTGCCGTTAACACTTCGAGCTTTCGATATTCTGATTTTGTTTGTTCATCAACAAAGAACTTTTTTGAACACTCATCAATATTAAAAATATTATCAATATCAAATGCTGCCCATTCAGTATTTACAAGCATCACCTTATCATTTTTCTTTATCAAATATCCTGCGTTCGTGCCTGTTCCAATAATCATGCCTATCGGATTTTTTAGATTCAAGGCAAATCCGGTCATCAATGTTGCAATTACATCATTCAATACACAGTTTGCCTTTATTTTTATTTTTTCCGAATTTAAACTTTTATTCAGATCTTCAACAATGTTATTACTATTTAGTCCCTCAGGTGAAAACCACCAATGTTTTTTACATGCTACAAATTCAGCTGAGGAAAGAGATGTTTGCTTTATCGTAAATGAAAATGATAGAGCTGCTGTTTCGGGAACCTGAATGCTTGGTGCTTCATTTTTTAACTCATTTAAGAATTCATTTGTTTTTTTGGCCACCCAATTGTTCCAGGAATATTTACTCAAAGGTTCAATGTTATTTTCTACTGCAAAGTCTAATCTTTTATTTTTAATAACATCAAATTCAGGATTTATGTTGTCTTTTTTATAGATACATTTTATGAGAGATATTTTTAGTGATGATCCACCCAAATCAATTACCAGAACGGTTATATCCATATTGTTTTTAATTTGGCTTCTAAACTTGTTGACCTCCTTAATATCAATCATTGAATCCTCAAAATTTTCAAATTCAGGTCTTTCTTGCTCATATATAATCAATGAAAGATATCTATCGTACATAATTTTTTGATCTTCTAATGATAACATTGGGAAATAGGAATGTCGTTTTCTTCTAACAATATATAAACAGCGGCATAGTATTGAAATATAAAAAATAAGCTTCATGTGTGGGATAGGTAAAATTAGACTATAAATATGTTTAATTATTTTTTTAATTTAAAATACTATGGATGTTTGTTTGTTTTTAATTAAAAACAAACAATTACTATTGTTCAAAAAAGTATGTGCTTAATGTAGTTAATAATAATCAATTATCAAGCTTTCCGCAATGTTACTTAATCATGAATTGTTGGTTTCGTAAGCTATGAATCATGGAGTCGTATCAATCTCCAGCTAACAATCACAAGACTTTACATATCCATGTAGATTAACCACACAACCACAATGTATCTTAATAAATATCAAGAAGCTGTTGTTAAATTGCGATTTTTAATTAATGTACAGAATGGAATTCGATATTTTTAATAGTATCACTGATATGTGAGTAACATGTCATCATTCCTGTTTCAATATAATAATCCAAAGTTTCCCTAGAACTCTGTGTTTATATTGTTTAAACTTTTAAGTGGAAAGGAAATATTTGTAGAGACGCATAGAACAAAATAGCTTTTATCTGGCATGAAATTTAAGCTAAACTAGAAAACTTAGGATATTGAAAGGAAAGATCAAATAGATTCAATGATTGAAACGAGATTGCTTATGTTTAGATCGTATTGGAATTCTATAGGATTGAGATTTCTAATGAAGAAGTATCAGGAATCTTCAACTTTAATATTTATGATGAAATTGGTTTGACCCTTATAATTAAATTCCACTTTGATCGTTTCATAGCTTGAAATAAGTTGAGTATTTTCTTATTATATGGTGTAATTTTTCTCTTAAGTAAAAAAGGTAATTTGCATTTCTTCGCTTCAAATCATTCTCTTATAAAACAAGTCTATTGGAAATGCAGGGGTGTTTAAAATTAGCACCTAAAAGTTTACCCCATATTTAAGACTAGATATGCCAAAAAGCCAATAATTTTTGTCCATATGTATGAAAAGATGAAATCTTAATGGCCACTAAAAATTTTCAAGTCCTGGATTCCTCTAGTCATTTTTATTTTGCTAGAAAAGTGGTTGTAATGAATAAAAGTCCATTAGAACGATGCATATCGGCCTCTTGCATAGCAAACACATTCCAGTACATAGTAAAAAATCAACTACTTATCTGTAAGGTCTTGGGTTTTATTTTTATATTTAATTATAAATTCATTATTTTATTGTGCTCGAAACATTTTATTGCCTACTAGTAAGTTATACAGTGATGTGATAAAATTGCGTAAATGTTCTCCGGGAGTTAATGAATTTAGTCTTATAATTGATAAAATCAGTATCGAATGATATTCATAATTTTTAATGGTTGAATCACAAATTTGAATATGTATTTTAACCTTGGAGTACAAATTTTTGTTAATATATCTCCCCTGACTAATTTTAATAAATATTATTGGCTGCAAAATGTCTATTACGTGGTTAATTTGAGTCGATGTGTTAAATAAAAATTTTTATAAATTGTTTTTATGAGCATATGCTTTCATATACAATTTCAACCAACTTTGTATGATATATACAGAAGATCGAAGAAGTATGATTATAGGATCGTACAGACTTTACTTTTAAATTTTACAAGCAATGCCATGCGTTTTTAAAATCTTTTTAAGCATTTCTTCATCTTTATTTGATGCTCTTGTTTTTATTAAGGTACGGAATATGAAATGGCCGAAATATAATCATACATCACCAACCACAACTATTCCCGCCAATGAGACATAAAAATACTTCGGATGTGCCATGGTTTCTATACAGCGCACCGTATCATGCCTGTTCTAGAGAATTCAAAGCATTCTGGGTGTGCACCTTAGAAGCCCAGCCGCCTTTAGTCCTCTGAATAGCTTGCAGAATGATTATATTGTCTAGGTGATACCACTCAATCTTTTGTCTTCTATAGTTTACCACAGGATACTTGCCTATTGGGCTTTTTATCCAACGCCACACACTCATATGGAATTCTTGCTTCACAACGTTGAATTTTTAGAGAAGTAAGCCAAGTTTATTGAAGAGCTGATGTCTATATAGCACCAAAAACAAAATCTGACTAAGTTGCAGATGTGACATCATGCACAATTCTTTGATCTCTGTTAACTAATGGTCCCTTGTTTGTAACTCACTTTATTTGATGTGCATATGATTCTTTTGATCCTCATTGGGATGTCTTGATATGAAGTGAATTTTTATCAAAAACATTCCAAAGAATGTGCTTGGGCAAGTATAAAACACTCAAGATTTTGGACCCAATGGTGAACCGCTCTGCTTTATCTCGGATTTTAAACAACTTAAAAAGTTTTGTGAGTAGTGCCTTGAAATCATATCGTGGACCTTGTGATTTAAACACTTAAGATTTAAGGTTAAATTTCCAACCTTCCTTTTACTCTTTCCGTTATCCAGCATTAAATGTGAATGCTGATCAAAAGTAAATGGGCGGGCCATTGGCTAAATACTTGCGGGGACTGTTAGAAGTAAGATTATGCAACATTTGTAAAGTAGTGTCACTGAAAATTGCATTTAGTCTAGACACTCATATCGACAGAGGAAATTTGGCAAGAAAATTACTTTTGAAACATGTGACTGGAAATATGGACTAACTCAACACTTCAAAATATGGGCACACGGAGTCTCGTTTTGAGATACAAGTTTGTATATGTATGCCAAAGCATAGCTCATATGGAAGACTTGTCAACACAATCTCTTGTGACTGAATCGCAGTTAATAAATGTGCTGAACTTAAAATATCTTAGAGTTTCGGAGTTTAGACAATCAAGGCATATCGCGATTTGAAAAGGTACTAGTTGCCACTATGTAATTGAGCTGGATAGAACATTTATGCCACTAAGGATCAGCAAAGGTTGTTTGTTATTGCAATGCGAGAACCGTTATGTAAGTCAAGTAATCGCCACCATATATTGTCTCCATATGCGCATATTGATCTGAATTGTTGTTGTAGACGATACTTGCTATTTACTTGACTGCAAAAGAACGAATTTCTAAACCACGACTGAAAGTTTGTCGACAGTCTAAATGTATTAAAAACCCCATTGAAGCGAAGTTTGCAGTCATTTAATTTTGCATGCTCATTGCGTAATAGTACATAAAACATGGTATAAAAGGTGAGCTTCTACTTTATTGATCTATTTGACCCATCGTATTTCAAAATAGAAAATGCAATTTGTTTGATTTTTACCTTCAGCACGATAAACGCATTTAAGTGAGTTGGATTGTCGAAAAAGTAAACACACAAACAAAACCTATATAATTTTATACTATAAATGCCATTTTTCAGGCTATCAAATCACACCATTAATCATTATAGACTATGCATGCTTGGATCATTAAAATAATAGAACATTATAAAGCTATTGGCTTGATCAAAAAAATTTCAAAGAGCAATTAAGCAATAAATATAGTAGAATAAAAGCTTACCTATATTTCCCATTCAATCAAAAAAGCATTATAATCGTAGGAGTTATTCTAAACACCGGAAATGTATAAATAAATTAAAAAATTTGATGAATAGTTTATTAATAAAAATGTAAAAATTATAATACATGCTTTTTAAATACGATAGTTGATAAGATTTTTTAATATCACTACTCAATTTGCTTTTGTACCATTCAGAACCAATTCGTGAGCATATTATTTGTGTCTGGATGATAAATTGAATAGATAATTGATATTTAGCTCGAGAAGGTACATTCACATATCAAATACGTGGTTGCGTTGAAGGATTATCTAAAAGATAATAAGAAAAATGCGCTAGATGGTTATTAGCTGCTCCCGGACACAAATATGAAATATGACGCCATAGCCTATTTTGAAGATTCTTCAATTGACGAGCAACCTTCGATTCGCCATTGTAATGCTTGCAATGGCTCGTTGAGTGTTTTATAGCAATGAATTCTTTCATGCAGGTAACATCTATTATCTTTTATAAATATTGTGGGCATTGAATAACTTATTCGCAAATAGCATCATTTCGTTTCGGTAAGATAGGGTTTTATAGATCAAAATCAAGCAAAACATACAATAATGCCTGTTTTAAAACGAAACTGGAATGGCTAAAAACACACATGTATTTAAAATAGGACAGTAATAAAACTTAAAGCTCATTGATATACAAATATACAAAGCCAAAAATACTTCAAATATCATATGTACGCAATTTAGATATATCTATAGATACAACAAAGTCCATAGATAAACATATTTTCATAAATAATATTAATACTGCTATTTTAATTGTCATTTGATTTCGAAACGACAATTCTGGATTATTCAATGATTCTTACTATTTAATATCTGATTGGCATGACTGCCAATGAAGATTTTATTTTATTAACAAAGATTGCAAAGTGTTCACAAATCAAACAATGGAATAAGTATTTAAAATAAATGTGAATCTCCTTTATCAATATTAATTCGAGTCAATTGACTTTATTTTAAAAATATTTATAATATAAAAGTTATAAAGTTTGCTAAGAGTTCTAGAATGGAGTATCGGCCATTATAATACATAATTACCATGATTATATGATGCTTGTATTTATGAAATAAATTGATTTCATTGCTTGACTTCAAATAATCATCATGGTTTGCCAATATGCTTGTATTTGGGGGAAGTTTTTAGTTTTCTAAGGATTCTTTATGATCAATTTTGTTATGTGATTATTTGTTTGAATGATTGAATATTAAGTGTTGAATTAATAAATAATTTATATTGTAAACATACTATATATAATATTTAGATTTTCAAAACATTGAATAGTTAGGCTTTTGTAAAAAGCATTTGATTTGTTTTACTAAAAATTTTAACCACAACAAAAAAGGTACATCAAGCAAAAGTTGACAAAAATTTTTGCCATTTTAGATCTTGTAATTAGCAAGCCCAAATGGCCGGTTAACATGTGAATAAATCCATCAGTGATTTATCAGATTAAACAATGGATTAGAAAGTTGAATTCGCTGATGCTAAAACTGTCGGATGAATTTTTATACTCAAATACTTTGAGAAATCAGAAATATATTGCATAAACTTGTCAATCAATACACCTTAAACCTATGTCTATGGAGTATCACGAGTTAGCACGTTATAAAACTTTCAGAAAATAAAATATATAGATTTCTGCGCGTATAAATAAAATCCGAGAAATTATGCTTGCAGAAAAAATAGAAGCATACATTATTATTCTAATATAATCTATGATGTAGATAGATTTAATACTGTCATTGCTGTGCAAAATATATTAACTACAAATGTAAAAACTGGCATTTCGAGTTGAATAGCACAAACATATTCTTGCGATGAACATTTGTATGTGAATTTGTAAAGAATTTTGTTCATTAAATATTTTTATAAGAACTTGCTGTGGTTGTTATTTTAGGAGTTAACGTTTAAATGCTTAATCTAAAAAATATCAATTTACGAAAAGTTGTGAGTATCCCGTAAATTTAATCAATTAAGATCATATTTTCTTGTTTATTAATTTATATTTAGCCACATCATTTCCCCTAATCTATCTTTTTTAATGATATCTCTCATTAAATCTGTTGTAAAATTTTTACACAATTTCATCACAAGAACATCACTTAGTATGATCGGTAACAACATGCATGCATAAATCATTTTGTAGACAGTGCTGGGATTTTTTAAGTATATTTTTTCATAAGGATTCTGAATCTTCATGTGGTTTTAAGATGTATAAACAATTTTTAAGTCATTAAGATTTCCCCTTTTATAAAATCTGTATATAATGACGCCATGTTTTTTATGCTACAATTTGTATTTCCTTGATCTGTTTAGAGATAGGCTTTTATATCTCTTATCAATTTTATATTTTTGTAAAAAATTCTATCAATAGTAAATGTGGGTGGGCCTTTATACGAGTAAGACACAGGATTATCTCATGTGACAACCAATATCACCGTTGTTTAGAAATTATTTGTGCATACTTATGGTCAGTACTCATGATAGCAAAATTGAAATAAATAAGATAAAATTGTTGATTCGAATGTGAATCCAGAAAATAGACACAATCGTACCTTTATTTTTCAATATCAAAAAGTTATTGGTCCTGGAGATCTAGACCTTATGTTTCTTAGTATTAATTAATTTCGAAAGTACATGATTAATAGTTATTGATCAATGAAACATTATTTTAGAGATGATAAACATTAAAAATCATTTTTATATTTAGAAACGGATTTGATTAGATTGATGAAGTTGGCATATCGAGACAAGTTCTGCTCTCATATATATTATATCTCATCACAAATATACACTTATCTTTAACCTGGGTGCTTGTTCACTTACTAATTCAAATATTGAATGGTGGTACTGCGTAGATATAGACAAAAAGACGTTACTTCTTGTTATCCAAAAAAATAATATCCTTGGGTGACAATATATTTTATATTGAACGGCACTGTTTATAAATATCTGTAATATTTACTTTGAATGTTGAATGTTTCGAAATCAGGAGGTAAACTCAAAGCATGATGCCTTTCCACATTTCCAATAAAATGAACATGGAATACAATTTTAGGACTTTATTAATTGTATTCTACAAAGATTAAACAAATTAGATTATATTACCCAGCAGCAATACCATATGATATATTAGAAGTAACGATTTTAATTCTTGACTAAAAGAAAATGAGTAATTTTGAATACAAGAGTCTGGCAGATTACCCATTTCAATATACTGTTAGATAAAGAAAACTCCATATAATATATGCCATGTTCCTCAGATATAATGGAAAAGATACAGCAAATGAACTTTGTCAATTCTGAATCAATAGCCACCATACATATAAATATAAAGAGTATACATTTTGAAGGATTAAGACCATTTTTGCTTCGTATCTTTATGTTATAACTTTCTGATCAAAAGACAAACCTATGGCATAATGGTCTGACAGAGATGAAAGTTATTGAGGCATTAAAATTAGTTACAGTTATATTTTGCTGTGGATTCAATTGGGTTTAAATCTATTTGTCAGATAGATGAAAATTGTTTTGTTCACAAGGTTCAAAGCCATTGTAAAAACAATCCATATCTAGTTTTATATTTCTAGATACTCTGCCTGCAGAATAGTACAATTGTGCAGACATCTTATATTCGTCTAAGCTGAGTATGCTATTCTGGCATTATAACCCATTATGATATTATGTCAATACATGAAGATATAATCTGAATTTAGGCTTCGAGATGTGAGTGTAACATCTGAGTGTTAGTACACCGTAAATTTTTGAATTGATGTTTAAGACTGACAAGAACACCCTATGTTTTTATCACACCAAAACATTAATAAATAGGTGGAATATGATGATTTTGTCTTTCATTTGTTATTTACGTATGTTCATTGGCGATATATACCACATTCAATAAATTATACAATGGATGTATAACATGTCTCATATTATTTTATAAATTTAACTGTTTGAATCGTTCTTTTCATTTCTTGTGGTGTAAACATATACATGTGTACTTAAAAAATAACACCACATTCCAAGTAACGTTAACAACAGCAATATGAAAATATAACCATGTTAATTAGCCTGCATTTTACTAGAAATTATCCATTTATAACTTATGATATCATAAGCGATTATAGTTAAATGATGTGATGATAAAACAACACCAAATAATCTTGATTTTTATTAACATTTAACATCATATATAGAAACTTCAATTAAGTATCTAAATGGGATGCAAATAACCTCCTAAAAAAATACAGTAATAAAAGATTAAAAATTAAATCATAGCTGCTTTAATTTATTGAAATTTAATTGCATCAAATTTATATCAAGTTAATTATAGATTGAAATTTTTATAAATTCTATTGTGCAACCAACATATTTAATATGTTAATTTGGATGATGATCTCGAGAGACCACGATGATAATAAAGAATACTCAATATGATATGTTGTCTTGATATCTTTATTTATTTGTTATACTGTATCTAATGTATCATATAGAATATAATTACTTAAAAATATAAAGTTATAACGAAATATTTAAAATCAGATGAATGAGAGTGTATATTTTATTTTTTAACTTTTACTTGATATTTAAAAGAGCAAAGGTTTTAATCTGCATCTTGGCATGAATTTTTGCTCAATCAATACTTGTAAATTTCACAAGCTTCGATAATTACACATATTAAGTTTGTTGAAGCCACACATACATCAGATGAAGATTTTTGGAATGAATATGAAAAGAAAGCTCTCCACAATATTTTTATCATATAATTTTACCTTAATGCTTATAAGTGGTTTTTAGAAATAAATAATCTGAGCTTATCTCATAAAATAAAAGAGCTAAATCTCTGAACAACCATTGCATATACTTAAAATGGGCTTTTAATAAAAATCTAGCATTCATCTCTATAATAAGAGACGGTGACTCAACAGCATTTTCATATTTCTTCCTGTTTATTCTATCTCCATCAAGATGCTTGAGGTTGGATTTTATAAAAGCTTCTAATAAGAGAATTGGCATATAAAATATTTTAATAAATATGTGCAATGCTATCACATCAAAATTTGCAGTAATTTCATGAATATTTTCCACGATGACGACATGGAAATGCTGCACTTAAATTTAAAACTACTCTTATGGAAGTACATGAACGTAAAATCTTTCAATCTGTATAGGTATTTTCATTTCTTTAGTGTCTTTGATGTGGTTTTATGACAAGATAAATGGATGAGGCTGTCTTTTCCAGGAGCTTAATGTTAGGGGTTTTCATTTAGTCTCATTGTTCAAAATACTTATTATTTTTGAATAAATTAAAGCTTAGAACAAACCATCATGTATAATTTTGGATCTTATAAATTTTTATTTCTAGGCTAAAAGTCCGATTGAAAATTTTTTAATATAGCCCAACTTGTCTTATTTGCTATTATATTTATTATTTTTAAATAGCTTGATTTTTGATAAAAGCCGTTCTGCTTTTACTCTTTTTAAAGTATTTTATTTATTATAAATAGATGCGTGTATTTGGCGTGGGCATCTGCATTTTAGAGGTTTTTAAATTTTTTTTATTTTATAGAATCCCCAGCACTTTACAGTGATAAGACATTGTCTCAAATTGTGTGTTTGAAAGATTGGTTTTAATTTGATTGCAAAGTATATTATTGTTTTCCAACAATATATATCATTTATTTGAATCAGCATATTTACTCTTATGAGTGTGTGATATTTTGTGGAATTTATTTGACTAATATAGATTATTTATTATATTACACACATTTCTCAAAATTAAAAAACGAAAGGGATTGATATTAAAATATTAAATATAAAAAGGATTGAATTCCCAAAACATTTAATTTCAAGTATTTTCGCAAACAATCCCCATGTGTTAATCAATCATATATTATATTGTCGCTGGGCTCTATGTAGTATTCATAACAACATGAGTATTGGCAAAATTCTATATAAGATTGTTAAAAATGGAACTCAAAAGTATCTATACTTTTGAGTATGCTCAAATACATCTTTCCCATTATTTTAATACTGATCTAAATTCAAGGTGAAGAAGATTTGGTGTGCCCTTTATCAACTAGCTAATAACACGCACAAACTAGAAAAACTATAAAAATTTTATTGTTGGTGCCACTTCCCTTAATATCCACAACATGCTAGCTTTATATTTTTAAATCTTCACAATATAACTTCTAAGAAGAAACGGAGATTTTAAAATCCAAAAGGATTGATTACAAGATCATCAGTTTTAAACCAATGTTTTCAATTTTTAATTTATATACAATGATTTATAAATTGCCAAAAGTTTTTTTAGTTTTAAACAAAACACCTCCACATATTAGACCAAATGCAGGCATTCACTCACATACTACGAAACTCCGGTTTTTGTTTTCTATTTATTCCTTATTAAGCATAACCAACATTGTATTTCATTGGATTGTTTCATAAGTTTGAATATGTGTGGTTTACAAAGATACAAATTACATATTTGTCAAAATGCAATTTAAATAATACACAAAAGCAATGTTTTGATTTATATGGCTGCAAAGAAAGAAAACCACATACAAGTTAATTAAATTATTTATGAAATATGTCAATCTTAGATTGATATTAAAAGTACTATCAAAAAAATCGAAGGGCCAGATTTTCAATTTCTCTTAAAAATTTATCGATTGTCATGCCAATTAACTATATACTCTTGCGTATATATTCTAAAACCCTTAACATTGAGAAGAACATGTATTAAGTAAAGGTTTATTGGCATACTCAATTTATTATTAAGAAAATATGATGGATCATTAAAAGAATTCAAATATAAGATTTGGTACCATCAGATTATACCACAGAGCATTGTTATACAATTTAATAATGCAATGATCAATTCATAAACCTATTGGCATTGCATTTGCAACTCCGAACAATATGACGGGGCACTATGTCTTTAAGATTTAATTATATTTTGCTGGTATAAATGAATCATCGTGCGTTTAAAGCTTTTAATGACAAATAAAATGCCTATAAAAATAAACACCTCATCAATATATGATCATATAATTAAAAATTGCCCTATTTGATAGACTTTAATGGCTTTAAAAATCACTAGAAAGTGATTTGTTTTAATTAGTATTTACAATCATGATTTCTCATGATAAAATGATGAGTGTTTGTTTGTAAAATTGGATATGATCGTTTTTTTTGCAATAAACAAGAGAAGTCGAAGGCCTTCTAATTAGCACATGCAGATTTTTCTTAAATAAAGGCTAAAACTGCACGCTTTATATTTCATCTCAAGAAAGCACTTTCCAAAGAATATTAATAAGGAAGCTGTTTTTACTTACCATCGAATTGCCCAACTTTGAGCCACAATCGTGTAGTTATTAATCTAATTACGAATAAAAAAGGGAGTTAGTCCCTCTAATATGACGGCAAATACAATTTTTAAGGAGTTTGAACTAACCATATGATCAAATTGATGTCTTCTATAATTTCGAATATATCAATCCTGCATAGTACCATTAAATATATTTATCTGGTCTTAAAAACAAAGACAATTTTATTTTGGAAGATAATTGAAAATTTTAAGGAGAAAGTATACTGATCATCGCAGTTTTTCATATGAACCGGAACATACATGAATGTATGTTGATTTAAAATTAAGAACTATACGGCTGAGATTAAGTAAAAAGTTAACGAAAGCAAAAAATATATCGTAAGATGCCAAGATGCTACGAACTTTCAAGTGTTATTTAAAGAAAGCTCAACGCTACATTAGAATAAAAAATGGTCACTATCCTGGTAGATTTATGAAACATCAACTTTTTACGTTTTTAATATTATATTTTATTAAATCGCCATCTGTTTTAATGATATAATGTAGTAACGTCATGTCTGACAATTTACCACTAAAAATTAAAAATAGCGCGATTCCTTTTTTTGGAAGAATGTGCCTATCGGTTTAATAGTTTGGTATTTTCAAATCATTTAAAAGTGAAAATTTTTAATTCCTGTTCAAAAACAAAGCATAAGTTTTTAGAAGAGTACTTGCTTAGATATAATAATTTCATACTAGACAAGGCACATCATAAACATTCTTTGTATTTAAAGGACCTATTATATCAATAAACAGTATGAAAATTTCTAAATTTATATAAATCAATACATCAATTTATAGATGTTTGAAATAATAATTATCCTCTATTTTTGGAAATTTTAACTTGATAATTCACACGAGTTTTATCATTCAATATTTTGAACTTCAACATTCAATTAAAATACTTTTCAATGTAACTATGTATAGAGCATGTCCTAATTAATAGATTAATGACTATTGCTTTTTTATTTTTATAACACATTGTTAATACAATTCACATCCGATAGAGTATTTTTATTTTCATCATACAGTACAACATTGTAAACTTAATAAAATTATTAGAAGAGAACAATTAATAT